AAGAAGTAGAGAGCTAGATCTTTCTCAAAGGAGAAGAAATGGGGGAGAGAAGAGGAAGGAAAAGAAGATTTAAAAAGGAATTAAGATGTATTATGCACATTTACCAACTCCACACAAGGAATGCAAATCTTATGGTGATAGTTAACTGATTGTGTCAGCTTGAGTTAAAAAAAAAAAGGTCCAAGTAAACTGACCCAGCATAGTTTAGGATGTGGAAGACCCACCCTAGGGCCACTTGTCACCAGAGTGGTATTACAAGGAAACTGAAGAAGGAAGCCTTGCTCCTGTTTTCTTTGGAGGAGCTTCCATCTTTGCCTTTACCTTGGACGCTGTCTTCAGCCTTCCATCACAGACCCTTCGTCCTCCTGATACAGACTCACACAGGACTACTCTACAGTGAGCTCCAGGACTGAGCATGGACCCTTCAGATTTCCAGCATATAGACTGTCTTTTTGCACTCTTCCACACCTGAATCCATGGGGGGGGGCATTGTAAGACAATCCTGTAAATTCTTATCTATTTATATATCTTGCATTAAATTTGTTTCTCTAGTAAGCACTAACTGATATAATTATGTACTGGAAATATATACCAGAGAAAAAGGCAGAGGAACAAGAGATGGAAGGGAGGAAGGGAGGGAAGAGAAAGGATGACAAAAGGATTGATGTATTATGTACATGTACCAGTTCCCCCAAAGAAATACAAACATCATATACTAGAAACATGTACTAAAAATTTTTTAAAACTAAAGATTTAAGATTGAGGTAAAGTGAACATTTTTTAAGAAGTTGGAGCTGGGTTGGTGGCACATACTTGGGAGGCTGAGGCAAGAAGATTGCTGTGAGTTTGAGGCCAGCCTGGGCTACCTAATGAATTCAAGGTGGCCTGGACTGCATAGTGAAACCCTGTCTAAAAAAAAAAGAAAGGAAAGGAAGAAATTTAAATTATGATAGAAAACACTATATAGTATCCCCCCCCATCTGTGGTTTCATGTTCCCAATTTCGGTTACCCACAGTAAACCATGGTCAGTAGATTAAAATAAAATATTTTGAGGGAGAGAAAAAAATGAGTCCATAGTCACTACTTTTATTACATACAGTTTTATAATCTATTAATTATTTTTGTTAATTTCTGGCTGTGCCTAATTTATAAATTAGACTTTACCCTAGGTATAGATGAATAGAAAAAGCATAGTGTGCATGGACTTTGATACTATCTGCAGTTTTAGGTGGCTCCTTGGTGCCTTGGAATGTGTCCCTAACATATAAGGAAGGACTACTGTACTATGGTTGCCTAATATTTGTCAAAGCGGTACTTTTATTCTGACAAATAGAAACACACTACAGCCAGGACATAAATGAATCTGTAGGAACTTCCCATGACAACATAAAACTTTTGAAATACAGTACTTTGGTAACATTTAACCAATTTAACCTAAGGAAGGCAAAAAAAAGTCTTCTGATTTTATAGATATAGCTATGTGATTCCTCAATAGTAACATACCAAATAAATCTAATGATTGTTAGAATGGCTCTTTTCACAGAGTGAAAAAACAAATCCTTTATAGTTTTTCTGTAAGCTCTCTGGGACTTAGGATGATAAATTGTTGAAAATCAACACTTGGTTTTTAAAGATAAACATAACAAGTAAAATGATTGTAAATAACCTTACCTCTTTTCTGAGAAGACTTGGATTTCTTAAATAATCAAGGGCATGATAAAATCAAACCATAGAAAAGAGTTAGTGGTAGAGCTCTTGCCTGAGGTCCTGAGATCAATCCTCAGTGGAGGTTGAGAGGTATATAATCCCAGCACTCTGAGATGCCAAGGTAGGAAGATGTCAAATTCAAGCTCAGCTTGGGAAGTTTAGAGACTTGGTGAGAATCTGTTTCAGAATTTAAAATATACTCAGGACATCAGTGCAAAGACCTTGGATTCAATCTTCAGTGCTCCCTAAAATGTAATAGTAATTACTGTTCACATCAAGATTATGATCAAAATGACTCAATATGCTTGAGCAAATTTGTATTTTTCATAATATTAAACATTTAAAAGAAGTAATGTTAGCTCATTCATCTAATAAACTTGTATACACTCAGGAAGGATACACCTAGGTAGAATAAAATCTACTGAAATATTATACTAGACACTAATAACTCAGAACAAAATAGATGGTTTTAGTAAATCAAAATCACTAAAATAGTCTTATCAGCTAAAAATGTACTAGATGATGTGAACTTGAATATTTATTTATTTATTTATTTATTTATTTATTATCTTTTTGAGACAGAGTCACACTATGCATTTTAGGCTGGCCTTGAGCTCACTTTGTAGCCCAGGCTAGTATCGAACTCACAACCATTCCCCTGCCTCAGCCTTCAGAGTGCTGGGATTACAGGCATGCACCACCACACCTAGCTGTGAATTTAAATTTTTAAAACACTTGACTTCACTTTTATAGGAATACATTTTTAGTACTTAGAAAATCTTGAAGATGTAATATCCTTATTTTGAGGAATTTTAACAATGTTCTATTTGTTTAAATGCCTTTTTTTTTGTACCAGGGATGAAACTCACAACTTTTTGCTTGCCAGGCAGATGAGCTAAATCCCTGGCTTAAATGCTTATTTTAAAAGCCAATGATAAAGAGATTCTTTAAGAGATTTTATAATTAATTCGGTAATACTATTCAAAGGTAGGAAAATATTACACATTCACACAAAGAGATGTAAAGGACTTTCTGAATTATAGATATCTTCATCATCATCATTATTCTGACTATAGTCATAAAAATGTTTATTAATGAGGAACATCTTGAAAAGGCTTGGAGTTTTATAGAGAAGAGTAAACTAGGCAGTTATCTACAAATCTCATGGGAATCATGAGGAAGGATGGGGATGGCTCCTACTTTGGACTATTGTAGGACAATGTGGTCATTGCTTGATGGTTAGCTCTTAGAACACAAAGAAGTAGTAAGATGCTTAACCATCACTGTTTCCAGAAGCATAGGACTGAGACTAAGTGCAGTATTGGCAGTGACAATGTTTCAACAAATATTTTCTTACTTGTTACTGACAATATTGGCAGTGCATGTACTGTGCCAATTTTGTCTGTAGAATTTCTCTGTATACTCCTTTATATGCCTTATTATGTCTGATTGCCTTTTTTGTTTGGATAGTTGGTTTTTGTTCTTGTTTTCTGTCCCTGCAACTTAATTATAGGTTCTCTAAGAAAAAGAAGTATGCACTGTACTAATTTGTGTTCCTCTTTCTCCTTCTTTTTGCCTAGCACTTAGTGTTCCAAGCCATCTACCCAAAAGTCACTTATGTTCAGTAGGAGAACAGATTGCTTTTTTAATGTATTATGACAGTATACTTTTCACAATTGGAAAATAGCATTTGCATCCAAGAACTTTCAAAGTCAGCTATTTCATTCATCTTTGCAGAGATTCATGCATGGACAAATTCTTTTGCTAGTCTTGTATCCAAGTCCAAGTCTTTTGCTAGATGGCTGTAGTGTTTACCTTAATGAAACATAGACTAAGTGATATTTTTTACCAACTGCCTCCTCTCCATTTTACCAGTTTCATTAATTCAGCCAGTGAACTGGCATTGTTTAGAATGTCAAATGTCATTATGAAGGGATTTGATAAAGAAGTTTATGAATTGTGTAAACACCAGAAAGATTTCTCATAGTGGCAAAGATGCCATTTTAAGCATCATGCCTAGAATTCTGTTTCAAGTAAAATCTTAAGGAGGGCTAGTGTCTGTGGAAGCAAAAGAAACTGAAGCATTTAGGATGAAGCCTTAAAAAGGAAATTATAATACTGTGCAAGGGGTGGTTTGTATTGGAGATTTAACTCAAGGAACACTGACTTATATCTCCAGCCCTTTTCAAAAACTGTTTCTTAAATTCTGAAATAAGGTCTTGCTGTGTTTTCCGTGCTGGCAACCAACTTCTAGTCTTCCTTCTTCAGTCTCCCACTAGCTGGAATTACAGGGGTACAGGACCATATCTAGCAATATACTCTTGATGATAATGTTTTTGTTTTTTATGGTACTAGATATTAAACATAGGACTTTTGCATGGAGCTACATCCTCAGCCCTTTTATAATTTTTATTCTGAATCAATCAAAGTCTTAAGTCTCTAAATTGCCCAGCTGTGCTCAAACTTTCAATCCTCCTTCCTCAGCCTTCAAAAATGCTAGGGTTACAGGTATGTGCCACCATGCCTGGCTAAAAAATGTGCTTTTATGTCTAATCAGTAAGGCTTAGTAATGTAGTAAAAGGCAGGTGAAGTTGACAAGAGGATAAAGTGATGCAGTAACACCAATAGCAAAAAACTAAAGAACACCAGTGAAGTGAATGTAGGTATTTTTTGTGAAAGAAACAAAATAACTTTAGAAAGAGTGCTTTATCTTCATTGTGATAATTACATTTACAGAAAGGCAACCACATTATCTGACCAAGAGAATATGCATTTTTATGTTCTACACTCAGGTTTATAAGTAACAAGTGCCAAGAATTATTTTTAAAAAAACTTCTAGGCTATATCATAGAGTTAGTACAGAGTATCCAATGCCATCATCTTCTACAAGATTGTCTTTAAGGCCCTTTCTAGATACTAGCTTTATCAGAGTTCTGTAAGTAGAAATCAGTGTTTTCCACAAGGACTTCACAGTACTAATTTAGACTTTTAAAAGTAACTCCTAAATCATCTAAGGAAGGATCTGTCTTGTTCAATATAGTTGTAATATTTTAATGCTTTGAAAATCTGGAATCCAGAGTGGAAAATATTACCAATCAATCCAAATATTTACTTTACCAAATCCCTAATAATTTTTGGCCTTTTTACTATACAAACCTTGTAGTTAGGTTTTGTTTTTCTTAGAATAAGGAGGTATTTTAAGGGACTAGTTTGCCGGGGTTAGATCCTTAGCTGTTACAATTCTCTTGGATTGCTTTGTGGCTGCTGGCTGTAGCAACTTGTTTTCTTGCAGAGATGAAGCATCTGGTTTTTGTTATCTCAATGATGCTGTCCTGGGAATATTACGATTGCGACGGAAATTTGACCGTATTCTGTATGTGGATTTGGATCTACACCATGGAGATGGTAAGCCCTTTCGTTTCAAAGATGCTTCACTGCTACGACAACAGGCTTTGATCTGTAAACTATTTCTAGACAACTGGTAAAAGGAGCAATGCCTGCTGCAGTTGATACTTTTGAATCACTGACAATTCTAACATAGGTGGTGTAGATTCTTCTGCTATAATCTTGCTTTGCTATTCAAGCCAGGCTTCTGTCATTTCCTCTCCCTTCTCCTGGAGTAAAGCTTTATAGCAGAGAATGAGAAGCCAAGAAACCCTTACCTAGTGTTTACCATCCTCCAGTGCGACCTCCCTCAGGCTATTTCCATAAGCCCTATTGGAAATCTATGGTTAAAACTGACAGTTCTCCCCTGTTCATTCATGCTTCTCTCAAGATAGTGATTGCATAAAGGACAGACATACTAAATTGCTCACCACTAGGCTATCAATTCTTGTAATATCAGAATCGTTGCTACTTTTTTTATATTGCTAAACCCAGGACGCCTTCCCTAATCTGTAATAGCAAAATCTCTGAACAATTTGCCTTAATCCATTGATCCTGTCTTAGAAGACCTTACTGAAAGGACTTATCCAACCCTCATACATATTTTTCACTGAGAATGTATATCTGTAGGAACAGTTGTCACATTGTTTCTTTAAGAAATCCTGTCCGTGACACATAACATTTCCATTCATCTATTGATACTTATCCAGTAAGTTATTAGTGAAGTATAACCTTCTGCTTCTCTTCCCCTTCATGTTACCCACATTAGTGATTGCTTCTTCCAAGTTCAGAATGTTTGTTTGTTTGTATGTGTGTGTATGCTTTTAGAGACTAGCATAATCAAGGTATGGGGAAGGAAAACATCAGCATGAGTCAGAGATTAAAGTTAGGTCTGCCACCAAAGCAGAAAAAGTAGAAAAATATTGGAGGGAGCCTCCCCAGGAAGCTTCACCTGAATAGCTGCTAGAAATATGGACTGGTGACAGAAATTTGACATAATAGAAGTGAGAGAAATACTATACTACTTTTGAGAACCATTTTCACTAAATTTCTGAGTATTTGGCCAGTGAAAACACAGGTTTGCTCAAAACCCTTCAGAGGCACATTATTGCCTGTAACAAAGCGCTACAGGTATTTGACTCATGGCTTATTTTTGGATGGCCAATGAGATACGAATGGTTTTTCCATTTTTTTTTTTTTTTGTCTTTTTCGTTTTTATCGGTACCAGGGATCGAACTCACGACTGCCTGCTTACAAGACAGGTACTTATGCCGCTGAGCTAAATCCCCAGCCCCTGGATTTTCCATTTTTAAAGGTTCACAGAAACATATACACATTGTAAAATTATGCATGTACATATATATGTGCATCTGTAGGAATGGAAATTCACAATAGAGATATAAAGAATTTGGAAAGCCTATAATCTTTATTATGTAGCTATTTAGCTTGCTGACCCCTGGCCTAGAGCAATGATTCTCAAACTTAATTGTATGTCAGGAAGATACAGGGAAATTTGTGTTAAAGTGCAGATTGCTGAGCCATATCCATGCATAAGATCAAAGAATCTACATTTCAACAACACTCCAGTTGTTCTGCAGGTCATACCTTGATAAATAGTGATCTTTAAGTTAAGTCCATCATCTACCCTGCCTTTTCAGGTTTATCTCAAATAGATCTCATCTCATCTCACTACCATTTTCCCTCTTACTACTTGCTGTCCACACTACTCTCTCTACTTGATAAACATGTCTCATTGTTCATGACTTGTATGATTCTTCCTACCTTCCCAACTTCACTTCCCTTTTCCTAGGTTTTGAGTTCTCACCTTTTGCATCTCCAGTTCTCCCTATTCACTCAAGTTCTAATAGTAGCAAATTTACCCTGACCACCTGAAAGCAAGGGTACTCATCCTACCTTCAAAACCTGTATGGTTTATATCACTAATGTCCTATTTCATTTTTCATTGTCTTATACTGTATTGTTAGGTGACTTTTAAAGTGCTTATATCTTCTCACAGAAATTTTAAGTTCCTCCAGAGCAGAAGTCATGTACTTCTTTCTGTCTTGCGCAATGCCTTGAACTAACAGTACTCTGCATATATCAGTGGTTCATAAAATATTTATAGAATGAATGAATATGAAGTTCAAAGTATTAATACCAGAGTTCATGAGTAGAACTAACTCTATTGAACCATATAAGAATGAAATAAGGCTGTCATCTGAAACCATTCTTTCCATTTACAGTGTTATTTCTACACCATTTAGAGTTTCCTGTTTTAGCCAACTTTTATGGTGTGTTTCATTTTGGTTTATTTCCCTTCTTCAGCACCTCCCTCCCAGTGACCCCTTTTCCACCCCTAGACTCTAATACATTTGGTTTATTTTAAAACTCTCATGATTCCATAACTAACATCCTGTAACCACTCCTACCCTATCCTTGTTTCATCTAACTGACCACTGGCTGTCCTGTGTCACACCAGCTCTACACGTTCCACCTAGCTCACAGCATCCCTGTTAAAATATGCTTCTATAACTATGAATAGTTGTATTTCCCATAAGAAATATAAATGACTAATAAACATATGGAAAGATGCACCATAGTCTAATACTCAGAGAAATGCTAATTAAAACAAAACAATTCTTTCTGCCTAAGATTAAAAAAGAATAATGATGGCAGTGCTAGTCAATATGGGAAAGATGAGAACTTGAATACAGAATTGAGTGAAGTGTAAATTGATACATTTCTAAAGGATAATCAGTGTTTCCATGAAGTTTCCTTGTTTCAGTTTCTAGGGTAAAATGCTATTTTATTTATTTTGTTTGTTTTGTTCTGTTTACTCTACATTTTTTGCCTGGAGCCTTTAACTGGTTTTAACTATCTCCTTGAAGCAAACACAAGGCTTAAGTCTTGGGAAATACAAACACACCTGTTATATACAAATATAGTTAATATTGTTTTAAGGTCTTTTTTTGGCATCTAATGAAGATGAAGTACATTAAGTAAACACAGAGACAATGTCTTTGTTTAAAATATAAAAGGGGATAGTACCTGAATTTTCTTTTTTTAAAACTCTTTAAATTTGCTATATATTTGCCATACCCAATGAATATATTCATTTTGGAGTATTGGTACATATGCATTTTCCCTCTTTGTTCTTTTTACTTTTCCTTATCTCTTCTCTCTTTCCCATTCCTTCCTATCCCCAAACACCCTTCCCATCACCACAAAGAACCTGAATTTTCTAAGAGCCCTTCCCTCTTACAGTCTGATGACTTGAACCACTGTATGATTCTGAGAGGAAAGGGCTGAAAGTGGGCAATATGATTATTGGATAACAGTAGTTTGTAAGGGTTGTTTTAACTTCTAGCTTTTATCTTCTAGGCACATAATCATTTTCTGACTCCATTTAAATAGGAAAGGGACCCTTTCCTAGAAAAGTCCTCTCATCTCATCTTTCTCTAGATTTTAAAACTCTTATAAAGCTGAGAGAGAGAGAGAGAGAGAGAGAGAGAGAGAGAGAGAGAGAGAGAGAGAGAGAGGGAGAGAAAGAGAGCACACTTTGCATTGATTCAAAAGGGGAAGTCCAATTACACTTTACAATGAACTTGAAATGTCACCTCAGACTTCACTTGGAACCAAACTTATACCTCATCCATAATTATAAGGATCCGAGACCAGGGTTTGTGCTACTTTTATTCCTCATCTTGTACACTTTATTATTGCTGCATTCTCATCAACTCTCTTCCTGTAGCTTTCTAGATTTTCAGGTGTTGGAAATAAGAGTTCCATATATAAAGTGATACTTCTGACCTTTCTTTCTCTGGTAGGTGTAGAAGATGCCTTCAGTTTTACCTCCAAAGTCATGACTGTGTCCCTGCACAAATTCTCCCCAGGATTTTTTCCAGGCAAGTGAACTGTGGGATCCCTCTAAATTAGATGAATACATACTGTAATTCTTCTATATATTTTATATAGATATTTGAATAGTTTTGTGCTGTTAATACCTTATTAGTGTTATTCTACACTACACAAAATTTGAGCACAAGTCACTTCAGGTGACAAAAACAAGAGGAATGACAAAAAGACTGTTTCTTCTTCCAGATGATTTTCTTTTTTGAGATAGGATCTCGCTATGTAGTTCAAGCTGGCCTGAAATCACTGTATAGCCCAGACTGGCCTCAAACTCACATCAATCCTCCTGCCTCAGCCTCCTGAGTGCTAGAGTATAGGTGTGCACCACCATGCCCAACATTTTTCCATATGATTTATGGACTATCAAGAGACTGATCACTTAAGCTGATATCTTATCAGATATTGCATATAATTCCTAATATCCTGATAACTGCAATGATATTTTGATACTGTTTCAACCTAAGAATCATGAAAGCTCATTTTATTTCATCTAATAAGATATAAAATAAGGAATTTTTTAGTTTCCATGTGATATTTATGCTTCCCTGAATGTTGTTTATAATCATTACTTGGCCATACTGTTTTTTAAAAATTTCATTCCTTCAGAAAACCCTCTGCTAAAGCTAGGCTTGGTGATACACACTTTTAATCCCATTCGTCAAAATGCTGAGGCAGGAGGATCAAAAGTTCAAGGTCAACCGTGAATACAGAAGACCCACTACCTAAAAAAAAGAAAGAATTGTTCTGCTGATTAAGCATTTTGATCTTCTGAATTTTTATCAGAAAATCCTTTAAGTTTTCTGGTTCTCATGTTCTTAAAAACTTATGACAGTGCTCCTCTCTTACAGGAACAGGTGATATGTGTGACATTGGCCTAGGGAAAGGACGGTACTATAGTGTAAATGTGCCCATTCAGGACGGCATACAGGATGAGAGGTACTACCACATCTGTGAAAGGTATGGCAGTTAATGCTGAGCCAGCAGCAGGTGGATTATATTTATATAGGGTAATATGGTCCCCAGTCTCACAGAATTCATTTTTGAGGAACCATTTGAAAAAAAGAACCATTATATGTCTACATAGCTTTTAGACACTGTTCATTATGTTGCTGGGGAAAGTCCAGGGGTTAAACCAGACTTGCTCCAGGTTTAGTCTTACCCACTACTTGGTACAATTAAGGCTATCCCAAAACCTTTAGTATATAATGGAGAATTCTTTGACTATTTTTTTTCAGCTAAAGAAACCTGTGTGTGTATTATTTCACTAGCCTGATAAGGAACATTTCAGTTTTCCATTATGGAGACAAAATCTGCCTCTACTTGTTGTGAATATAGTAAGATGATTATAATTCTTTATCTTGCATTCTTGAGTTCTATCCATTGTGTTAAAATGGGAATCAGAAGTGGGGTGGGTATGTGTGTGGTGCTGGGGATTCAACCCATGATCTTGTGTATACTAAGTACCACTGATCTATACCTTAGTCCAGAAATATGCTCTTTTACTTTGGCTAAAGATTAAATTACTGATGTAGGCAGACAGTTTAGTGTGGAGATCCTACAGAATGGGAGGAGACTAAACCCATATTGATAAAATTGAGATTAATCAGACACAAATGCATTGCTGACAATGGCAAGAGAAAAAGTAAACCTAACTAGAAGTCTGCCAGTCAACATTACTAAAGGTAAGCTGTGGAGAATGAGATTCTCTTGACCTTCCCTACTTGGCTCATATTTCTCCCAAAGTCTGGTAGAAAACAGGGATTTCCCAAAGGACTCTGCCTGCACTGGTCATCATCACTGTCCATTACATAAACAAAGTAGAACTATTAAACAATAAAAATGCCAGGTATAGTGGCACATACCTATAATCCCAGCACTTTGGGGGATCACTGTGAGTTCGAGGCCAGCCTGAGCTACATAGTGATTTCAAGGTCAGCCTGAAGTACATACCAAGACCCTGTCTGGAAAAAAAACTAAACAAAACTTTATGCTTTAATGATTCTTTTTAGCTCAGGAGATTTGGCCAGCCACGTCATCCTGAAGTCATTCAAAGAGCACTAACATCTTCATGATTTTTTAAAATTTTTATTTTTATTGCTACATGTTTACAGTACATAATGATTACATTTTTTATAGGGAGTTGGTAAATGTATGTAACACATCTTGATTCTTTCAATTCATTCCCCTCATCTTCCTCCTCTGTTGCTCTATCTCTTGGTGCCCTTCCCTTTTGCAAAACATCTAACTTCCTGTTTCCTATTATCTGTTTTGTATTTTGGTCTTTAAATTTTTTGTATTTTTAGTTACTCATATAAAAGAAATCATGTGATTTTCAAGCTTAGGTGTTTGATTTATTTCACTTAATGTTATAGTCTCAAGGTGCAATCATTTATCTACAAATAACTCAGGTTTGGCCTTCTATATGTAAAGTAGTACTACATTGTGTCTAAATACCACATTTTCTTTATCCATTCATCTGCTGATAGTAATATAGGCTACTTCCAAGATGTAGCTCTTATGGGTTGTGCTGCTATAAGCATAAATGTACATAGATCACTTTAAATATGTATCATTGTAGTGTCTGTAACTCTTAATAGTTACTACATATCTACCTACACCCCTGTAGTCTTACCAAGATTAGTTATTTAATTTCTTATTTATTTATTTATTTATTTTTGTTGCTGGGGATCGAACTCATGACTTCATGCTTGACAGGTGGGCGCTGTGCTGCTGAGCTATATCCCTGGACCCCTTTTTTTTGGTGCAGGGATCAAACTCACCACCTTGCACTTGTCAGGCAGGCACTTAGGCCACTGATCTAAATCTCTGGCCCTTTATTTGATTTCTTGATGGTAGCCATTCTCTATAGAGTAAAATGGAATCTCAGTGTTGTTTTAATTTATGTTTCTCTAATAGCCAGATAGTAAAGATTTTTTTCATGCATTTATTTGACATTTGTACTTCTGTGGAATGTCTGTCAGTGTCAGTGGCCCATTTTCTGATGGGGTCTTTAATGTGGGGAGTTTTTAATTTTTTAAATTATTTCTATATCCTAGATATTAGTCCTCTGTCTGAGAAATAGCTGTCAAAAATTTTTGCCATTCTATAGATTGTCTCTTCTCTCTGTTGTTGTTGCCTTTGCTGTGCAGAAGCTTTTTAATTTTAGGTTAACACCACTTGTTGATTCTTGATGTTATTTATTGTGCAGTTGGGCTTCTGTTCTGAAAGTCCTCATTTATGCCTATGAGTTTGAGAATTTTACCTATTTTACCTTCTAGCAGATTAAAAGTTTCTGTCTTAATGTTTAGATCTTTCACCCATTTTTATTTTAGTTTATTACATGGTGAGAGATATGTATCTAGATTCAATCTTCTGCTTGTGTATAGCCAGTATTCCCAGCACCAGTTGTTAAAGGGACTTTCTTTCCTCTGTCCTATGTTTTTGGCCCCTTTGTCAAAGATCAAAAAACTGAATGCCTGAGGAGTTGTTTCTACATCTTCTGTTCTCTTCCATTGACCTGCATGTCTGTTTTTATGCCAGTACCATGCAATTTTTTATCACTACCTTTGTACTTGAAATCTTGGATTGTAATGCCTCCTATTTTGTTCTTATTGCCAAAAATTGCTTTTGCTATACTGGGTCTCTTCTTGTGCCATGTGAATTTTAGGATTGTTTTCTCTAGTTGTGAGGGAAATGCTATTGATATATTAATTGGCATATCAGTCAGTGCTCACCAGAGAAACAGGTTTGATATACATATATTAATATTATATATATTAATAAATATATTTGGCTTACAATGGCTCCCTATAGAGTCAGGTATGGAAGAATGCAAAAGGGCCATCTTTGTACTAAAGATCCAAAGGATCCAGTCACAAGTCAAAGACCTGGACCTCACTGTAGAGCCCCATGTGAGTCTGTATCAAGAAGCCAAAAGGCCTACACTGGAAACCAGGAGGTGGACATCTAAGGCAGTGCCGAAGACTAGAGCTCCTTTGAAGAAACAGAAGTGACACTTCTCTCCCTTTTCATTCCATTCAGGCTACAAGCCTATTGGTTAGTACCCCTCACACCCAGGGTAGGTCTTAACTTCTCCAGTTAAGTCCATCATTCAGTAACATCAAGAACTATGCTAAGCCAATCAGCTGGGTATTTTTTACTTAAGTTAAAACAATTAACTATCACAATTGGAATTCCTTAAATCTGTATATCAGTTTTAGAAGTGTAGCCATTTTAACAGTATTGGTTCTGTCTATCCAGAAACTAGGAATAACTTTCCATTTTTTGTTATCCTCTTCAATCTCATTTTCAAAGTATTGTAGTTTCTTTCTATGGTAAAGGTCTTTCACTTTCTTGATAAGATTAATTCCTATGGAGTACTACTCAGCTATAAAGAATGATCACATTGATATATTTATAAATAAATGGACGCAACTTGAGACCATACTCATAAGTGAAATAAATCAAACTCACATGTATAAATACCGTATAGTCTCCCTAGTGTAAGAAATGGTAAGAGTACATAAGATTTTATGGTAATCATGATTCCCCATTACATTGCTCTGAATCCTTATAATGTCTGCATTCATTAGTTGGAATGATTTTATCCTAGTTTGATTTTATTATCTGTGATATGATAAACAGCTATTTTAAAGAAAATAAGACATTGGAATACCCAGTGCTGATTTAGTATCATCTTACTCTGAAGTCCTACTATGCTTTTGTTTTTCTGTTTCCTTTGGTTCTATCCTGTTATATCTTATTGGATATTATTATGTGTGATAGTAAAAACAAAATTTTCTATGGAGAATGAGATAATATAGTAGCCATTGTTCATTCTCTGCTATTTGGTTCTGAAAGCTCTGTAATGCTTTCATTCTCTTGAATGGTTTTGTATTGTTTTGTTATGTTTGATACTATTGTATATGAAGCTATGCTCAACTATTTCAAAGAAAGAGACATTATGGCAGTTACTATTAAATATGGGTTGTCTTGTGGCAAAATGCTGTGTTACTTACATTGTTCTGATCTGATCTGCTTTGTTATGTCCTCTTTTGTTGTAATCTCTTTAAAATAAAAAAAAATTTAAAAAGGTTAATTCCTAAATTTTTAACTTTTCTTGATGCTTTTGTGGATGGTATTGTTTTCCCAATTTCTTTCTCAGTCAGTTCATTCTTGCTGTACAGGATTTTTCTGTTTTGACACTGAATCCTACTATGCTAATGGATTTGGATATTAATTCTAGGGATTTTTTGGTGGAATTTATTTGGTCTTCTAAGTAGATGGTCATATTGCCTGCAAATAACGATTATTTGACTTCTTTGTGTCCTATTCGTATCTGTTTTATTTCTTTCGCTTGCCTGATTGCTCTGACTAATGTTTTGAGTACTATGTTGAACAGGAGTGGTGATAATGGATTGGTTGTCTTGACCCTGATTTGAGAGGGAAACCTTTCAGCTTTCCTGTCTTTCATATGATATTGACAATAGGTTTGTCATAAATAGTTTTTATCAGATTGAGATAAGGTGATTCCATACTATCTTCTTCAGTATTTTTATCATGAATGGATGTTAGATTTTGTTAAGTGCTTTTAGTGCATCTATTGAGACGATTGTTCACTTTTTGTCCTTGCTTCTATTGATATAATGTGTTATATTTATTGATTTGCATATGTTGAACCATCCTTGCATCCCTGATAAAAGTCTACTTCATCATGATGTATGATATTTTTGATGGTTTATTCCATTCTATTTACAGTATCTTATTGAGAATTTTTGTTTACATTCATTAAAGAGATTGGACTATAATTCTCAGTTTTGTCTGGATCCTTGTCTGGTTTTAAAATCAGGGTGAGACTAGCTTCCAGGGACAATTTTGAGAATAACCTTTTCCCTTTTCATTGCATTAAAGAGTTTGAGGAGTATTGGTGTTAGATTTTTCCTGAAATTCTAATGGAA